CCGAAAATAGGGGACCCTATATAGTAGGCTAAATAGTATAGGATCCTTATGATAAGGACCCCAAACAGGTAGCCCTTATTTTCGGAAACTCCCATGTATGTACATGTATGTAGGTGTAGGTATATCTTCCCGTGTTTGCACATGTATATGTATGCATATATGTAACGACACATCTACAAAGACCCGAAACCAGTCAAAACTCCCGAAGCTCACCGACTTTGAGTTTGCAGGCTTGGTTCTACTTCGGATCCTGGTGTGAGCCCACAACCAACTTCCCAAAAGTTCTGGAACCATTTCTGCCACCTAAACGATCAAGCCCAAGCCCAAAGCCCAGAAGTTCCCGCGAACACAGCAGTCTTGAACCGCAATCCCACAAACCGAATAGACCCGAGACTACCTTGTCCTAAAATTCCCCGTTCTATGATCCTTATGAAACCCAATAAGAGCAACAAGAGACCGTAAGTCAGCCTCGAACCCGGAATTCCAGACACTGTGCTAAAGCTAGAGCCCACCCTAAACCAAGAGAAGAGAGCCTCAAACCCCAAACATCTGGATTTGGTTCTCCCGCCGACTCTTTGTTGATTGAAGCAGGCTCATGTGTTTGTTGCAAAATGTTCTATCCTCTGCATGTTTAGCGACATTCCCCAAATGAAGCCAGCTTTTAAGCTAGGTTGTAGCTGTGTGTATGTGTGGGTTCATGCCTAATCGTGTAACCCCCGCAGCCCCATTGGAGCTGCAAAACCATGTGTTTAAAGTCACGAAAGCATGCTCGGATGATCACTTTCGGTATTTAGGTTATATAGGCTCTAGGCACAAAGACTTCAGCAGACATGGCCGGTGCAAAGCGAAAAAGAGGGGGCGGCCAGCAACAGAGGCTGACAGCAGCAAGGCTTGAGGGGGAACAGGACACAGTCGGCAGTGTGCTCGTCAAGTACCTCTTGAGTCAGATGGCTTGGGGGATGATGTCCCCTCAGGACACTCAACTCATTGCCTCACTTGCAAGGCGGGACATGGAAGCAGCTGAGAACAATCCCAAGATTTATGAGGAGGTGCAGAAGTTGTCCAATGTTGGCTGCGGCGGAGCCTACCCCAGCAAGGTTTACTCCGATATCATGTCACGGTGCATGCCTCAAGCACAGCTACCAAAGCCCTTCTTTTTCAGACTTCCTTTTCGGGAACCCTTGGGCGAGCTTTTACAGTCGTGTTTGTTACCACACGAATTGTTCGCATCGATATACCACAGCTACAGATCGACATGGACAAAATGCATCGTCAAGAGCGAAGAGGTTTGCGAGAACTTCTGGACAACAATGGCAGGACATCCTGCCGTCGTGCCGGGAATGACATCGCGACCAAATTTTTACAAAAGGTGTGTGCCGCTCGCCCTTCACGGCGATGGAGTGCCGCTCACAGGAGTGGGCAAATCTTGGCAGAATACGATAACCGACTTCTCCTTCTACTCACTTCTTGGTGAAGGGAAAACTCCCGATCTGCTGATGTTCGTGTACTGCCTTTTTGACAAGTTGAGGAAGATGGGCCGAGACAGCACCGCTACGGCACATCGTTTTTTTGAGATCCTCCGATGGTCTTTCAGAATTATTTGGTCTGGAACATGGCCAAGTCACGACTACAACGGTCGAAAGCTTCTTGGCTTCGTACTGAACAGCTTTATGATTTGTGCCCCAGTTGTTTTGATTGTTCTTCAACACACAATCACAACTAAACAAGCCACACCCGTACAAATCAAGTCAATGTCTTGTTCTCTGCTTTCCCGCACAGGTACAAGCCAGGCAGTGAGGAGGCCAAGAAGGCTGGGAAGCCCCTTGCAGACGGATGGTATGGAATCTTATTCAGTTTTTGTGGGGACTTGGATTACTACCATTCGCTACTGGATTTACCGAATAGTCGCACGGCCTCTGGACCGTGCACACTTTGCAGAACAACGAAATATGGACCTTTGTCGTGGCAGGATTATCGGAGCACGGCCGGGTGGCGAACAACTTGTCACACCCCAGCTAGCTGGAGTGCCCAGGATGACAAGTCTTCATGCCCTCTTTTTGGGCTACCCTTTGTTACTGGTGTCAATGTCTGCTATGATTGGCTCCACTGCAAGTATGTAGGCTCCGATCAGTATATGTATGGTGCTTTGCTGCGGCTTTTATGCTTCCATGTCCTGGCCGACACAGCAGAGAAAAACATGCAAGCTTTTTGGTCTCGTTTGAAGTACGAGTACAAGCGACATGGCACTCCGATTCAGTTCAGATACCTGAACACCATCAAGATGTTCTTGAAAAAAACTGGTGTGGCCAAACTTCGAGGCAAGGCTGCTGAGATAAAATATTTGGCAGCTCCTTTTTCGGCCGTGTGGGAGCACTTCAAGAACCCGCATTTGTCATTGCATGCAGACATCAGCCTCCTCCTCAAGCTCAACAAGCTTATTGAGGACATCCTCATTGAAAGGAAGGGTGAAGTGTCGCTCGGAGAGGATGCTACAAGATTCGAGGAGGCTCTCAATGCTTTTTTATCTTTGCAATCCAAAGTTGCTTCATGTCTTCAGGAGGCGAGTGGGGAGAACATGATGGCCATCACAGAAAAAGCACATTTCTTACAACACAGTGCTATGTTATCCAAGTACCTGTCGCCGAGGTTGGTGTGGGTCTTCGGAGGGGAAGATCAGCAGCGAAGAGTGCAATGCCTTGGAAAATCCGCCGTTAAGGGCAATGGACCGACGAAAGCAGTGCTGAAAATGGTTTCCAAGTACAGGATGGCCCTTCATTTCCAGTTTCAGACCCACGATGGGTAGGACTCTGACGTTTGGAACCTGGTTCAACCAGAGCTTGGAAGGGATCCAGCTTCCCAGCACACTGCAGACCTTGACCTTTCTTGGAGGGTCGGGGGACTTAGTAAATGTTTATTTTATAGACTTATAAGTACTTATAGACTTATATAAGTACTCTAACCCCAATTAGGGTCCCTTTTAGGGTACTTATAAGTCTACTTATTATACCTGCTTACTAAGTCTCCCGACTCTCCAAGTTGGATGGAAGTTCAACCAGAGCTTGGAGGGCATCCGGCTCCCCAGCACACTGCAGACCTTGACCTTTGGATGGAGGTTCAACCAGAGGTTGGAAGGCATCCAGCTCCCCAGCACACTGCAGACCCTGACGTTTGGAGAGACAGGTTCAACCGGAGCTTGTGGGCCAGGATGCAAAATGAAGAGAGCTTGGACTGTGTGCCTGAAGCACCTACCCCCACAGCTTGAAGCCTCGCACACCTTGACACAGCCACCCTAAACCCCATAGAACTGCAAAGCCGTACACAGCTACACGGAGTTCAAATCTGTCATCGTTCCAAATAGACAACAACAGATATAGCCGGAAACCAACAGGGCTCCCAAAGTCTCAATCCTGACTTTCAGAACCGAGGATACATAGCTTAGAGCTTGAAGCCCAACAAAGCGCTGAAGCCCAACTTTGCTCTGTTTCTGTGCAGGCCCCTCGTAACAGACAACCCTACAAAGCCCAAAAAGCCACCACATGTGTGAAGATGAAAACAATGTTGGAAAGCATGGTCATGTTCTCATCTTATACCATCTTGTTTTCGCACCGGTAATTAGTCTTGCAGCATCATTATGTCATCTCACCGAAGTTGCAGTCGACGTCATCAAGTTTCGCTTTCACCATCATACCGACTTCTAGTATCTGTATCGTGGAATAGGTTGGGAACCACAAACGATTTGACATGTGCTTCAGTGCTCACGATGTGGCGAATTTGGTGGTGATGAATATATATGGTGTGATTTTATATACCAGAGATCTTGAGTTGGAATTTCCCGCAGGATATATATATGCGATTTTTCATAGCGATTATGTTGAGAATTCATAGCGATTATGTTGAGAATTATTTGTATGGATTTCTCACCATATATTGATTGTTACTCGCATCCCCTCTTTTGGGAATAAGGAATAAATAGATTATAATGTAGTGTTGCACTAAAATGTATTGGTGTATTCATGTGTGTTGCAATGTCTGAAGATGTACGAATATGTGTACCTTGAGCTGCCTTGAGAGAGGCCTTGAGCGAGCATTTTATGAAGGAGAACTACCTGGAGAAGGCTTGCAGGAGCTGGAAAAGGAGTTTGTTGCACACCTATATACGAAGAAAGGGCCCAGAAGGCTGAAAGCTTCTCCAGGCCCTGGAAGGGAGTTTGTTCCACACACCTACACATGAACGGCCCACCAAGAGCTGAAAGCTTCTCCAAGCAACTGGAAGGGAGTTTGTTCCACCTCTACATATGAAGGCTGTTTGTGTGTGATTGTGTCCTCAAAACACAGCCCCAAACTTCCACCAAACTTCCTCTCCGACCCGGCCAA